AGATACAAATGTTTCCTCTCCCTCTCTCTCTCTCTCTCTCTCTCTCTCTCTCTCACTTTGCATCGAGTAGTTTTCCTTGCTTCAACTTGCTCAACTTTGAGCGCACTTTTGCTAATCGGCTTACAAATGAAAACGAGGCATATTAGCACTTGCTAAGTGAATTAATCAAACTAAAGTTCAGCTTAAGCTCGGGCTGGGAAAACCCATAAAAGAAACTTTTAGTCTGCCTCGATAGAGTGTGTGACTCGAGCATGCTGCAGTCGGTCAGCCCCGGCTGTAGCAGTCCCACCTGCCCGTGTTAGCCCGCCCTAGCTTTGTCGTGGTCTCCGCGCACGGCTGTCACATTAATACTTTTTGAAATTGCAATTTAACTTTTATAGTAAGCAGACAGCGCCCATGGCGCTTTGTCCGGAGCGAGTAAAAAACACAGAGAGCGAGCGAAAAACGAGAAAAATCGAGAATGAAAACTCTGCAAAAAACACAACAATATCTACGTCAGCTGGCGTCGCTCCAGTCCGCTCCGCTCCGTTTTATAGTTCAGACACTTGCTCGGCCAACTCTCCGAATGGCTTTGAGCAAATCTACTGGCAAATGCGGACGGTGGAACGGACAAGCGGACGAACGGGCGGACGGTCGCTCAAAAGGCTCGCGCGTGTAGATCCAGGAGCAATTCAGCGCTGCCGTTCCCGACTATTTGCAGCTTATCAGTGCCGGGGCAAGGTCCGGCTGCGGCCCGCACAATACATAAAATAACTCAACAGTTGCCAGCACAAAAGCCAGTCGGAAATAACATGAGCGTGTGTGTGTGCGTGCGTGTGTGTGGGTGAGGATATGAGATAGTTATTGAAAACTTTCCCAGTCACTGCAATTTTTTTTTTTTTTTTTTTCAACTATCTTTTTTCTCAGTTTGGCCGGGATTTGCGACGCTGAGCTGCGCACAAATTAAAACCCTTCGCTTCATGCTGAGCGGAAAATTGTTACAAAATAGATTTTTATTCGTTTCACACTCCGTCGCATTGCGTGGCGCTGCTGCTGCTAGCAACAAAAATTGTGTRCTGTAAATTACGTAAACCGTTTACACAGCTGCCCGGCCAAAATTGAAAAGAAATGAAGACTGAAAGCCAGCGCGACGAGAACGTGAAAACAGTTAACCAACAGCAACAGCAACAGCAGCAACAACAGCTGAAAACACTCCAGGCGAACGATGATGAGGTAAATGAATGTCAGCTTAGCGGAACAGCATTCTGTGGCGACAAAATGGAGGCGCCGCCATTTGCCAGCTTGTTCGCACTGCGTCAAACGGACCAAATTTCAAATGCAGCCGTCGCGCCGCTGCAGATGTTAAGCACATTAAATTTTATAGCCCCACAGATGAGATTATCACCCAGCTGCACGCCGCCGACAACTGTTTGGAGACATTAATCTGAGCCATGCCACCACCACTATGTATCCAGCCGCATGACAAATTGCGGGACTCTTTCGCAGCCAACTCCAACGTGCTTTGTTCTATTGTGGAAAGTAATTGCATCACTAATTACCATACGGTCCCATTCACAATGATCTACCCATGTCCTTCTCTGTTCAGCTGAGGTGCTATAATTCTATTCACTTTATAATTAGAGAGAGTGAAGATGCTCCACTCAGAAGTGCTCGACTAGTAGATACCCTAAGCCTAGTGCAGAGTTTCTGCTAATCATTCTGCTTTCTTTTCATACACCCTCATACACACACACACATAAGTACGTGCTCTGCACTTTGTGCGTTTTCTATGCTAACTTAATTGTTGAATAACTTTTCTTCCACATAAACTTTCTTAATCAAATTCTCAGAGCATTCTAATGAAATCCAGATGTGCGTAGCTGCCAAAAGTGCAAGTCTTGAGTATTTAAAATTTAATGCAAAATTGTGGGGAAGAATGGAAGGTCCTCAAATTGAGATGTTTTCATACATATGCTTCCAGTTTTAGATGTTTCCAGGTGTCAATATAACGATTTATATCGATAATTCATAAGTGAGATGTGTTATAGCAAAC